TCAGACATTTTTCTTTCGTTGTTTCTTTCTTTGCACAGGTAAACAGCACATTTCTTCTTCTACGCTTGCATTATCGGCAGAGCAGACGCTGTACTATTCCTTTAAGCAACGGAGGAAGCACTTCAGTGAACATGATGCATGCTATCTAAATAATACTGGCAGGAAGGAGCCAGGACAAGAAAACAGGAGGCTTCCTACTGTATTGATAGTTCATTTAGCATAGGAGCTTTCTAAAACTGCTTGCCACCGCTCCTAATACTTTGCATGACCAGATTAATAAGCAGTGCCAACCTCATGGAGTTTAAAAAAATAGCTTTCTTCAATTGTAGTCTGTGTGGCACCTTCGAATGTACACAACATTATATTTTGGGTTTTATAAGGGAGAGCTTAAACAGTTTACAGCATTTGAGTAACTTTGCTTTTTGTAGCAATTTTCCCGAAGGCTGTAGACCCAATTTCACTAGTATTATTCATGTGTCTGTCCGTTGGGTAATGTCATCTGTAAGGCTGAAGCACAGCAGTCCATATCTACTCTCCTACCCTGGAAAATGTTCTTACTGCTGACCCCATGAAAGATGAAGGGGTACGCAATGTTGTGCCAGTTTATTTTTTAAAAAGAACAAGCTCAGTTCACACAGTTAAAAATGAAATCGTTCATGTTCTAAGTTCACGTTTTCAAAAATTAACTAAGTTAACTAACTTTTAAATTAACTAGTTTAAGTTAATTTGGCAAATTAAGCCACAAAAGGTGATGTTTCTTGAGGACCCAAAAGCAGGGATGAGTAAGGCACAGATGAGTTCCTGTAGGTTTTATGAAAAACTGAGGCAAACATCCAACACAAAAATACTGAGAACCAAAAAACCAGCACACATCATGACAAACTCATGTGGGGAGCTAGAGACGAGGAAGCAACTAACAACAACAAGGAGCCAGCACTGAAGAACTGAACAAGGAGAGTATATATGGCAGATAGAACAAAGACTGGGGTAATCAGATGATATGGATCAGGTATTTATGGAAGTGACTAGAAGAGAGCTAGGGGAAAAGAGACAGGCACAAGGGGTCCTAGTAGGCACAGTTCGGACAAAAGTGTGTGTTTTTTCTGTCAAAGTTTTCCTTTACAGTATTAGTTCATAAAACTCTGCCAAATGTTTTGCAAAAGTGGCATCAGAAATTCCAGCTGATGGGTCTAAATCGCGCAAACTAGTACTAGCGGTAGACATGCTGGTCTGTCCTGCTGTTAATGCCGTTATAAGTGTCATTATTAATTGAACGGGTACGTAAGCTGTCTGTGTTTCTCATTTTTAGAGTGAACGTCGCTCTCGTTCACGGGCATTACTTCAAAACTTGTCCATTCACTTCACCGTTCACTAAAAATATGAATGGATTCAGTGTGGGGGTAGGAGCTGGGAATAGGAAGTAGGAGCTATACTTTGAGCTACTCCGATGTAGCCAGAGTAATCAATATTAGTTATCCACCAAGGAAGAATTAAGTTTGAAATTTGATAAACAAAGTTTAGAAATTCTAATTTCGATTGAAAAAGTATTAGAGTGGCAACACTTATGCAATCAGGTTTTTTTTTTTTTACTTTCTAATAGTTATTTTTTGCTCTAACATTTTTCAATTTAACTGTAAAAGACCTACTTTATGTTGTATAAATGTTTTAAAGTATTTAATGATGATTTTAAATCACAAACACTTTTTTTTAGCAGGGCTGTTTAATGGGGTTGGGTGATACAAACCTTAAATTTCATCAGGATTATTTGTGGCATTTATTGAGAAATTATAAAAGTTAATAAAAGTTAAGTTAGATAAAAAGTAAAACTAATAATTAGCATCAGTATTTTTTTTCAGCAATAAACTTGCCAAGCTGTCAGATGGAATAATTCCTAATATAACTGTTACAGTGCTAACTGTACAGATTATTTTCATCATGTAAAATTTTCTACTAAATTAATTTCGTTTATGCTTTTAAGACAATCCTCAATAACAAAACATCAATTCTTTTAAAATAATATACGTTTAGATTAATAGTTGTCACAATGATCCTGAATTGCAATGGCAATACCTTTTTACAAGATAACAATAAATAAAAAGATATCTGACTATATAATGTATTCCATTCACATTGTATTCTATCCAAATAATACTCTGCTCCAACCTAAAAAGCCTGTTTTTTTTATGTGTCTCTCTACAGATTGGATACTGGAATGAAGTCGACAAAATGGCTGTGACCAAATCAGATGTCTTTAGCAACGACACAACAGGAATGGAAAACAAAACAGTGATTGTAACCACCATCTTGGTAAATTTGTGTTGTTTAAATGCATGTTTTTGCCTAATGTATTTGCATTTTTAAATTATAATATAATATATAATTAAAATGCTATGGTACCTGAAAAACAGGTATCAGTGAACTTACCTACTGTAAAGAATATAACAGTGTAAGAAACTCCCAAATAACTAAAAATATCAAGGGAGAAAGAACTTGAATTGGTGAGTCAATAAAATTGTGAAGGTGTGTGATGAAAGAGTTGTTAATTAAAATAAGTGTGCTGGAGAAATGAACAAAAATCAACAGATTTTCACCTCGTATTATCAAATTTAAATACACAATATGTTATAAACAAAAAAATGAATAGTGACCATAAAGATCACGACTGTTAGACCACATAAAAAAATTTTTTTTGTGTGTGTTTCTAACTGATGGTGTTAACTGAAAAGGCAGAGGCACAATTATTTAGTGCTATGGGACCAGCTCCACTGAATGTTAAGCCTGAGGCAAATACTTTATCTTTGAAGCGGTTTTCCTCATTGTAATTCAAACTTGTTCTCCACCTTCAGGAAGCTCCATATGTCATGCTGAAAAAGAACGCTGACCTTTTTGTGGACAATGAGCGCTACGAGGGTTACTGCGTTGATCTGGCTGCAGAGATAGCAAAGCACTGTGGCTTTAAGTATCAGCTGAAAATAGTGGGTGATGGAAAGTACGGAGCCAGAGATGCAGAAACCAAAATCTGGAATGGAATGGTTGGAGAGTTGGTGTATGGGGTAATTCAAACTGCTTACACTGCCTTTATAAGCGCTCAAAGATGGTATAGTGTAACACTTACGGTACTTTACTTCTACAGTTAATATATAACATTTAATAAATAGCAATAATACAGTGGATCTTGTTTTTTTCCTAAAATGGATATGTTTAAACGCCATAATAACATTCACTGGAGAAACTATCCTTTTGGTTTTATCCTTTGGTCTGACAGAAAGCAGATATAGCAGTGGCCCCGCTGACCATAACATTGGTGCGCGAGGAGGTGATTGACTTCTCCAAGCCCTTCATGTCTCTGGGAATCTCCATCATGATCAAAAAGCCTCAGAAATCTAAACCTGGAGTCTTTTCTTTCTTGGATCCTCTGGCTTATGAGATCTGGATGTGCATTGTTTTCGCCTACATCGGCGTCAGTGTGGTGCTGTTTCTCGTTAGCCGCTTCAGCCCCTATGAGTGGCACACAGAGGAGTATGAGGACGGGCAGATCCAGACCAATGAATCGACTAACGAGTTTGGCATATTTAACAGCCTGTGGTTCTCACTTGGAGCTTTCATGAGGCAAGGATGTGACATCTCTCCTCGGTAAGTATAAAAAAACATTTCGTGTGCTATATTATTAAGAACTTAATTAGACAAGAATGACCTTGAAATAATTTATACATTTGATTTATTTTCCAAATGGGTCACATCAATAACTTAATTTTATGTCATTAGTTATTATAAATCAGTATTTTCTGCTTTCACTTTTACTCCAACAATTTTAATATGTAAAGAAACTATGTAACAGAGCATAAACATATCCATACATGATATCATTACCTTGTTCTACAACAAAATACTATATATTTCAAGCTAACTATTGATTCAGCCAAAATGGATTTCTCTATCCTTTTAACAATTGATGCTCTCTAAGACTCAACAATATTTTGTGTCCTTATAACATGCTTTAACCTGGTATATCTTTTACAATTTGTGAATGTTATGCTGTTTTTTTTTTTTTCATTTTCTAAATTAACAATTTCAGTTACAGCAGGGCTTTCAGTTACAGTTGTTGACAGATTTTTATTTTGATATATAAACTTCAACTAAAGTATTAGAAAAATAGGGTTTTTATGTTACAGAATACATTACATTTTAGTATATTACATTTTTATCAGTCTCTTTTCTTAAACAACAATGAAGACTAAAATTAATCTGTTAATTGACTGATTATCTAATCGCTTGCTACCCTGTAGTTGTTTATTTTCCATAAATGCTGCTTGTAGCTCGCTAATTGCATAAAAAAATATATATTTATGATAATTCATAGGGGAAAAGGTGCTGTCCCACCTTGGTTTAGAAATTATTGCAACTGGTAATGGTTAATAAGAACCAGTTTATTTTTCTTGTAAGCAATGAATATGTGTCTTCTATTGGCCACATTGCTGGCATTACAAAGCAACAGGTGGAGAAAGGGAAGAGGTGCATTACTTTGCTCTATAATGTCAGAGGAAACTGGTCTCTCATTTTCTCATGGCTAAAAACGTTTAAATACACTGAAAAAAATTATGCGACCGCTGTTGCTGTTTAATTAATCTTATTTACGGTAGTTACTTTAACACATTTTTTTATTTCCTACCCTGCTAACATGAAACAATTTTGTTAAAGTAACTAAATATGAGTATAAGTAAATGCCAAAAATGGTTCCAGTAAGAATGATTTGCTTTGTTTTTTGTACTATTTGTATCTACAGTATTGTTATTCTTTTTAGCCCTACCGTTACAAAAAAAACACCATTAGTATATTCAGTGACAAGTGAATTTTCACACATTCATTTACTAACAAACAAAAGCTAAAATAAAATCTCAGTCTCAATCTTTTTCAGAACAGGCATTTGTAGAGAAGTCACAAAATTACTTTCATCAGTGTTAATAGTTTAGTATATGCTTGGACAATGTAAATGTTGAAAGCTTATGAAAGTTGAAAGTGGTGCTGAGCTGTGGACTCGAGAGATGAATCAGTCTACGACTTGACATGCCCTTTACATCACACTCTGGTGATGTGAAGGGTGTCAACATGACTCCCAATCAATGTTGTATGTTTCCCTACAATGTGTTTCCAATTTACAACCTGTGTTTCAACTGCTTAAACCTCTGAACTTTTTTCAGTGTTATGTTTCAGATTTACAAAAAGACATACATTTAGATGTTGGTACTAGAAAGACTTATTTTTATTTATTTGTTTGTTTGTGTTTTCTTTTTGCTTATTCATTGTGGAAAATGAAATAGTTCGTCATGCGTCTCAATAAGCCATCTTAAGTTTTGCACATGTGCTGCTCATTTTGCCTGTTTTATATTTTTATGGAGCTAGATAGGACTCAATTTTCACAAATACACATATGTGATTCATACATGCACAGGACAAGATCCACACATGCACAGAACGAAACACACAAGCACAAAGATGTTCACACACACACATACAGTGGATGTAGGATATGGGGGTCATCCCACGTGGAGTACTTTCTTGTGATTGACTTACACATGGGAGCTTTGTGATTGGTGGCAAACCTCCCTGCTTAAAAAAAATGCACCATGAAGTTCAAAGACAAGTGCTACTTTGTAATTTACTGTTTTTTATAATTGTTTATTGACCAGAAATACTTTGGTGAATCTTATGCTGTGCATGTTTGGATCTTGTCCTTGCGTGAATCCTGCTGTGCATGTGTGGATCTTGTCCTGTGCATGTATAAATCACATATGTGTATTTGTGAAAACTGAGACCGATCTAGATGCATATGTTTTTCACACTTTGCTTTGAGAGACGTTTTGGGTAAGTGATGTCTGGGAAGATTCAAATGTCCAGCTATTGATGAGACCAAAATGTCATGTGCGACCAAGGTGTTTTACTGGCTATTTAAAATGGTATTACATGGCTTAGATACACAAGTATAATA